CCAGTACATCGGCCGTCTGACGCAACGTGGTTCAGCGTCGGCGGCAGCGCTATGCTCTCATCGCTGACCGACTCCTGTTTCATACGGCTACGGCACATCCACCTGCTCATCAGGCGAGGGTGCGGCGACAGTACCGCCGCTATCCGGACCCGCAATCGAGCCGGGCCCGGGTACAGGCCCGGGTCCATGTTCGGGTCACGTCAGGTCAGACCGGGTCAGGTCAGGTCAGACCGGTCAGGCCAGGTCAGACCTGGTCAGGCCGGGTCAGATCTGGTCAGGCCAGGTCAAACCGGGTAAGGTCAGGTCAGGCTGGGTCGGGCTAAGCCAAGCCAGGTCAAGTCGAGCCGGACCAAGCCAAGCCTGGCCGGACCGCCTGCGCGGGCGCCTCCGCCTACCATGACGCAAGCCTGCACGCGGCCGGCACGGTCGGACGGCAGCCAGGGACTGTCTGTGGCAACCGCCGCTTCACCGAACCCGCAGAAACAGCTACTACTGACGCCCCGCTGCAGTGCTATTCAGCACAACCTGCCTCCTGCTGTCAAGCTTACAAGACGCACTCATCGGCTCGCGGTGAAACCTTATGGTACGGCCAGTCCAATCACAAGTGGCCGGAACTGGCCACTCACATATGTATTAGGAAGGCCGGAGTGCTCCAGTGGTCCGAGGATGAGCCAAGCCATCGTTCTGGGAAGAAACTGCCATCCAACGCCAGCGTTCAAGTGAACATGCAAGGCATACCCATGGGACTTGCCGGCTCGGATCCGACCCCTGGACTCAACGCAAGGCTCCCTAGAGGCGAGTTATTCCACCAACCTTGGCTGGAAGCACGACCCGCCCCGCGTGACACGTGCGGCCCCAGCTTAACCCCGTAGTAACGCTGCACAGCACCCGGCGCGGGCTGCGGTCGGTACCTGATCACGCTGTCGATACTCGACACGGCGCCGATGGCCGCTCCTCGCCCGACGCGGGGCGACCAGACCCGGCGCCGCGACCGCAGCCAGGCGGGCGGCGGTCAGCCACCGCCGCCGCCGCCGCCGCCGGGGCTGACTAGGCTGATGCTGACTCGGAGCGTGCAGTCGCGTGCGTGGCCGAGCTCTTCCATGCGTGGCGCGCCGCCGGCGGGGCTCGGTGACGCACGTCCCCGCTGACTCACACGCGCAGGGGCTTCAACGATCAATGACAGACCGGGAGGCGCCGGTGCGAGGCGGGGGTGGCCATGACAGACCGAGGGGAGGCGCCGGTGCGAGGGGGCTGACCATGGGCAGACCGAGGGGAGGCGCCGGTGCGAGGCGGGGATGACCATGGGCAGACCGGGGGGAGGCGCCGGTGCGAGGCGGGGGTGACCATGGGCAGACCGGGGGGAGGCGCCGGTGCGAGGCGGGGATGACCATGGGCAGACCGGGGGGAGGCGCCGGTGCGAGGCGGGGGTGACCATGGGCAGACCGGGGGGAGGCGCCGGTGCGAGGCGGGGATGATCATGGGCAGACCAGGGGGAGGCGCCGGTGCGAGGCGGGGATGACCGTGGGCAGACCGGGGGAGGCGCCGGTGCGAGGCGGGGATGACCATGGGCAGACCGGGGGAGGCGCCGGTGCGAGGCGGGGATGACCATGGGCAGACCGGGGGGAGGCGCCGGTGCGAGGCAGGGATGACCATGGGCAGTGGAACGCCTGCAGTCCTGGAGGCTGATCCGTTCGGGGAGGCAGGAGCAGAGCGCCTATGCTGGTGATGGAAGCGGCTGCTGGGTATGGGTAGTTCGGCGCAGAGTATCAGGACGGGCGGTAGAGGCTGGATAACCGGAGATGAGAGCTGGATACCTGTACCAGCCGTCAGAGCTCCCATTAGATTTGAGAGGTCGGAACAGTCCATCTGCTGCAGTGAAGGGTGCTGGATGTGGGGAGCAGTAAACACGCACCAGTAACGGGGCGCTGGATGTGCAGAGGTCGTAGCAGTGCGGCTGCACGAGACTCGACACCAGATACCACACACCTCTCATGTTCTCTCCCTTCGATTTTTAGCAATGGCATCCAAGGGCAGACGGTTTGGCATGATTGGAGCTTTGGATAAAGAGCTTAGCGCGCTGAACAAGACGGAATTTCAGTAACTGGTAATTGGCTTATGGCACAAGCTGTTCTCCGCATATATCCCTAGATGCATGCGAACCACGCCGTTCATATTGGAAACGGTCCGGCTTCAGCCCATGAATCACCGTATATGATCCTCTCACATTCCCGAGAATGCAGCGAATGCAACGGTACAAAGTACAACTTTGAGCCGTCCACAACGGGCACTGGCTGTAACATGAAGACCGGAGGACATCAAGCAGACTAGCTAATCAATGGGTGCGTCCATGGGATAGTGGTGCAACATTGCAAATAAGGGTCGCATTTGGACTCTGCTTTTTGAGAGCCCTGTCGCCCCAGCTGGAAGTGAAACCAAAGTTCTTGCTATTTTTAACTAATGAATGTTTCATATATTTTTCGGGCCTAGTCAGCTCCTTTTACCCAGCTCGCAGCCGCGCCCATGTGCGGGACTGCGTCCTGTGTTAGATTGTCTCGCGTCAGGCGGGCCCAGCGCTGACGTGGCCGCGCGGCACGCTCTCGGCGGGTCACAGCAGCGGCGTCAGGGGCCACAAAGGCACGTGGTCGCCATACGGCCGCAGAGACGGGCTATAACCCCTCCAGCCGGCGAGCCGACACCCGAGAGGCGGCAGCAGGCACCGAGAGGCCGGGCCGGGCCCGGCGCCCAGTCCGGCGGGTGCGGCCGCTCAAGGTCGTCCGCTAGCCGTCGTCTGCGCCCGGCAGGTGATCCCCGCCGTCGAGCGGGCGCCCGGCCCACAGCGCGCTGCCGAACGGCTGCCCACTGCCCATGGGACGCAGCGCGCGCCGGCTGCGCCCCCTCCCCACGCACGGCCGCGCCGGAAAGTGGGCCGAGAAAGGCGGACCGACCGCGGGCCGCGCACCTGACGGGACAGCGCACCCGGCGCCGCCGCCGCCGCCACCAGCCGGCGGTTTTTGTCGGGGAATTCGGTGGCCGCGGGGCTCGATTCGAAAGGCGGGACGCGGGGAAGGACGAAGACGGGCGAGATAAGAGTGGTCGAGGCCTGCCGTCCGGCCGGCCCCGGCCCCTCCCCCGGCACGCCAACAGAGGGCCGGTGCTCACAGCAGCCCTCAACAGCCCGGGACATCGGGTGGAAAGCGGCGCCCCACACATTATCTCCACCCATACTATTCGGGTAACTCACGTACGGAAGATATGTTGACTCCTGATATGATGTGATATGTTCATTTACTGAAGATGTGACTTCTGAATGGCAAACTCTACATAGTTTGATTGAACTGCCTGGTTATCACAATTTGCGTATGCAGGTGTTCAGAAAAAGCAACGGGAGTTTCGGCAAACAAATCACCAACTTCCACATGGCATTCTGCTGCGGGGCGCCGGTCGGCCGGCACGGTCTTCAAGTGCCTACTGATGGATATTGGCAGGCTCGTTCCGGAGCACAGGTGGGCGCCATCCGATGGGCAGAGGTCAGCAGCGGGCAGCTGCGGGGAGCGGACCGTGACGGCAGCACTATCGGCCAGACGCCGATCGGCCGCCCCCGGTCACCGAGCGCCCGAATGGATAATCACTGGCCGGTACAAGTCAGCTTTTCCAGGACACCGATTTCTAACCCGTTCTGGTAAATCAGTTCTCGGGGTCCAAGATGAACTCGGCTCATTCGTTTGTGGGCCGATGTTACGACCACGCGCCAGCAACGGGGCGCGCCAACAAAGAATAGATGCATTTAAAGCCGGCTTACTGTCATCTGCGAAATGGTCCAGTCGTATCACCGTTCTGGTCTCAGTTGAGTGAGTATTCGGGTCAAATGTCATCGCCGGTTGGGATTCTACGTTCGGAAATAAAAGTCAACCTTGACACAAAAGGGTCTAAGACGCTGGACACACGATGACTTCCTGGAAACACTGCACCGAACCAGGCTCCGTTTGCCATCACCCGTGGATCCAGAACCAAATCCCCGTCTCCGTCAACTTAGGAATTCGGACACCGCAGGAAAACACCAGCCGCCGCCTGGACCACAGGGCAGTGACACAAACTCTTCCCCTCAGCCGTCTCCGCACAGCGCTGCGCCGTCCGGCCCAGCCCCAGACGGAGGGCGAGCGGATCGTGAGCGTAGGTCGGCAGTGCCGCCGCACCAGCCACCAGAACGCCGTGTAGAGGCAGGCGGCTCCAGAATCACGAGCTATCGCAAACGCCGTCTTCGCCGCTTTTACCTCAGTTGACTACAGGCAGTGTCGTAGACTGGGTCTTTCGACAAGAACGCATATCAGCAAGATTGCTCGCACCTAAGAAATGATGACGGGCCATACATGTATGAGCAAACTAGCTGAACACCCATCCCCGCCGCAAGGCGGCGGGACAGCGGTCCTTTACATACCGAGCAGCCAGTCTCATGAACGAGCTGTCGGTCAAGGTCGGATACGACAAGTTTTCAGGTTACTGCCAAGTTAATTTTGTAGCAAAAGGTTTGTCTTATACCGTTTGTGCATGCATGTGTTTGTAGGATTTTTATCCGGTATCACTTTCCGTTGTTTTCGAATTGGTTTAAACTCCATGACAAATAATACGTACAAGCCACGTACCCATTTGGAGTGTCAGCTGATGTCGAAAAATAACAAAAATAACCTAGTCCACCTGAAGGTGCATACTCCTGCGGAGTCGGCCCTGAGCGTCCTCAGCGGTTTTCAGCGGTATTTAACATTCAATATGGATCGTTCAACCTTAGTCCGTGTCGCCTACGATCGGCCGGCAGCACTAATAGTCATAATTTCCACCATCGGCTAGCGGCAGCGCAAGACACAAAATCAACCAATTGGCATATGGTTTGGGCATTCATAAAAAAGCGCTCAATGTGGGCCGAGGCCTTTCACGGTAACCCTGCCCAGTTGGCGGAAAAGGTCCAAACGTAAAATGTACGTTTCTGAGCGTCAGGATGGACTTACTTTTTGAATATTCTCTCGTACTCCTTGATCTGTTTGCGGGAGAACTCGGGAAACTCGGTGTAGGGGTTGAACACCCGCAGAACCTTCTTGACCTCCTTGCCGGCGTGCAGGTCATCATTGATCTGACACCGCCGGTTGAGGACGGCACTGAGCTCGTTGTCCGCCGACATTGTCCCCTGCGAGAACATGCCCCCAGTGTCAGACAGTGATTTCGTCCATGTCCAAGAGACATATGAGAGACTATGATTTCGTCCAAGATAGAAAGAGAGAGATGCTCGGGAAGTAGGCGTAGACACTGGCGGACAAGACTGAGAAGAGTTGGTAAGGCGCCGGCACCACAACCAGCATTTTTGAATGGCCATGTAAATATCAAGCAAATTAATCGGCGTGATGGCATTCCAGCCCCTCCCCTCGTGACGGTGCCCCTGCGTGTGTAAAATGCATAATCCCTAGATGTGGGTTCCGACAGAACCAGCCAATTCAAATGCCTACATATGGAAACCACACGAACCCGTGCTCCTTCCAAGGCAAATGGTCCGGGGCCTTGGTCATCGCTGCTTTAACTGATAGCGCCCGCATGACGAATAATTTCATGTTGCCCAGGAAACACAAAAAAAACATGACTGAATCAACCTTAGCAAGGCACAAACGTCGAAATAGGTACCAGATTACCTGCAAAAGTACTAGTCAGCTCAAAGCTGAATGATCAGAAAATGCAGCCAATGAATATCAGGCAGGATAAATTACCTTGGCAAAAAGGAAGTTTTACAAAGATGGGCGAACACACCAGGTCTTCACGTCACCAGCGATCGCGCACGCACCCCTGCCGCCACGACAAGACTGATGCACGTGAGGCGCGCGCTCGATTGTTTATTGGACGAAGTCTTGGCCGCGCCACTTCTGGCGCCACTTCTCTCTTCTGCTACAGGGCAATCAGCTGATTGTAAGGCGTAACGTGCACTGATGCGGAAAAATATGACGTGACTGGTTTCACATTTTGAGGTACCTCTAATATGAAAATATGTGTAAAATTCAAACGTTCTAAGCAACATTCCTCAAAGATAATTTCCTGAATAACATGTATAGCAGCAATGCAAATATCATCCAACGGTTAAGCATCGACTGCGAAACACCAACAGCGAAACAAGTATAGTAAGGCGCGGGGAAATACTGTAGGTCACGTGCAAATGGTGGTATTTCCGTGCAAATAGGCACATTAGGTAATTACAAATCTCTGATTGGTTTAAAACAATTATTTGTTGGCGTTAAGATACCAATATTTTAGCTCCAAATTGTCCAAAACGCAATCTATATCAATTGATAGTGACATTCAGTAAAGTCATGTGATAAAACGTATGTTGGAGTAGATTGCGCAATTGTGCTCTTACTGGCGCACTACGTCGCGAAATTTTGTGTTGCGGTGAAGCGTACTAGTGCTGTCGCGAGCAAGGATATTGTTGTCTATGCATAGAGATTGAAAGTGGCTGTAAGTGTATTACGACTGCTGAAAACTTAGCAATCACAGCCTTTATTGTGTTATCCTTTCTGATTTCTAGTTCTGGGTAAAATCGACATTGCTCATCATCTGCAAGAAATAAGATCTCAAGCTGAAGGTAGGCTATTGCCCCATTTTTCTTCATTTTCAGCCTTGAACCAGCAGACCTCATAAGGTGCTTCGGATAAATACGTTTCCAGATATTCCACCAAGATTGCCCTCAAAATTAATGGTGGCAAGTGCACCACTGCTCTGTGATATCTGCAATACAAAAACAGATGTCAGTGTCAAAAATCTTGCAAGCATCAACACAAGTCCAATATCAGAGCACTTCACATGTGTTTCATGTTCCTTTATGCATAACAGTACCATGTGAAATGTTTGTTCAATCTGGTGCTGCTGGCTGCATAGTTATTGGTATCAAGTGCTATATTATTTATTAATACCTAGTACTCACCCTTATCATTATAAGGAGTGCCTTTGACCTAGAAAAAACTCATGGAGACGGAGATCACCAACCAGATGTGGTTTGATTGCTTTATGCCAGTTGTCACTTTGATGTTACACATCCTGTATCTGTCTGGAAACCCATGCATTCAATCTTAGGGTGAGTAGATATGCTTAGCTGTAGGAAAAATAAGATTTCCTATCCTGTCAGTTACATTTTGAGCTGTGATGTGTCATTTTTCTGAGAAAGATGCCACAATCAAATCAAGGGGCATGTAGGGACTAGGCGATGATGTTGACTGGTGGATATTGGCATCTCAGCTGCAAGGACCATTTCACCCTGCTGGAGAATGCAGGAGCCACATATTGGCATATTCAAAACTAAATGATGGTTGTATTCTGCAGTTCTCTGGCTGCATATAAGAATTGTTGCTTTCAAAGGACTATCTGCTCCCATACTTACCAGAGGTTTAAGGCTTGCGTGTAGTAAACATGCTCTTGTATTGGATTTTGTCATTGAAAACTGCAGTGCAGTCTTGAATGACAATGCAGGTGCTAGAAATAGCATTGCAGGCTGCTAAAGATAGCATTGCTGGCTGCTGCTTTTGGGGCGGGCACAGTTGTGTATCTTCTGGTGAATGCTGCAAGGTGACATCCACTGTTGTCTATGTGTTGGTGCTGGGAAGCATTTTGATACATTTGTTTATATCTCCAGTTTCATCACATTCAAAATGCATGCTTGGTAACTGTTTTTCATCCATGTGACATTCTTCTGTGAGCTTAGACCTGTTTTCTGTCATAAAGTATCTTACCTTTATCACCTGAGTTTTCATTTTGCATATAAACAAAACCAATAAAAGCAGTTAATTTTCCCCCTCATCTAATATTTATTACCCATGGTTTTCAACCTTAACTTACAAAGTTTCTGAATAGAGAAAGGTGGTACCATGTGCCAATCTTTGAATCCTTTGTGGTGTAGGGAAATTGATGCATTTTAGAGCATGATGGCACACTGCTATTTTTTTTTTTACCTTTTGGGTGTAATAAAAGTCTTCAGCTTTTCATTTTGCTTTTGAGGTTAAGAAACTCTGCAGCACAAATTTCATCATGGAGCACTGGAAGCCTGCCTGTGAACCACATGAACTTGGGCTCAGGCACCCTTACAGTGGCCGTACAGGCTAAGGGCAGTGAGTGAGTGCAGCTGAGCAGAAGTCGCGAGAAATCGAAAGACGGGAGAAAAAACGCTTTGAGCTGTTTTCTTGTCACTAAATCTTGGAGACCAGTAGCATGCTACTCGCTTCGTTTCACCCACGGCGCGGGCGCGCTACCCCTCTGGTCCCGAGATATAGCGCCATCTATTACATCGGTAGTCTGAAAACTGGCCGCCAGGTAAATCATACCTCAATGCTGGACTCCGGGGCCCATGGCCTCCGCCCATCTCCCCAGCCATGGCCAGTCAGTTCCGTCAGACGTCCGTCTCTGAATCATGGTCTCAACCTTTTAATCGAGGGGATTTTGGACAACAAATAATGTTACCATTAACAGGCGCTCGGATGGGGTCCATTTAACCCCCTTTAGAGGTTTTCGGGAATGGTTTCTGAACGGCGCGACACAGCCGCACCAAATTTTGCATAGCTTTTGTATGAAAAATTTACGTCTACCTTGTCAGGTCGCTGACCTACGGCAGGTCCCAGTTTCGCTATTGTCAGCTGCGAGTGCTGATGACGCGGGCCGGCCAGCACTCACAGCTCCGTGTGTGCGGAGGCCGCCGGGGCCGCCCGCCCCCGCGTCAGCCTGATCCGTAGCGGCCCCGGCCGGCGTAGCAAGCTGCTGCGGTGAGCCGCACACGGGAAATGCCGCCGCTCCCGGCGGCGGGGGGGGGGGGGGGGCGGATGTGTGCCGCCGCGTCTGACGCAACGCCGGTGGGGAGGGGACCGTGCTGACCTGGTCGCGCGAGACTGCTGGTCAAGCCGGCACTACGGGCGACACCCCGCGCTCAGACCTGGCTGACCGAGGCTTAGCGTGGGCGGGTGTTCGCATGGTTATACTGGAATGCGGTTGTGCGTACGTGCAGCCGAACACCGTGACTCGACGGCGACGTCGGCACTTCGCTTGATCTTTGGCTAATATTTTCAGTCTCATAGTCGTATGGAAGTCACGCAGCATCACCTGTGGGTGACTTGCTTTGTTAAGTGCTTATTGCGCCATGAGAGTGTTGTGCAGTCATTTATGTGGGAATAATTGGTGCTTAAAGCGGGTTGTCTGGCCGACAGGACAAGCTGGGACATTCGCCAATGTCGACGAGTTCGACAGACAGGCGTGCACGATACTGAACATGATTTTTGTTGTTGTTGAAAATGTGCCAAAAGGGGTACCACGCTCACGCAGATGTATCAAAGAGGACAGTAATGAATATTGCTCTGCGATGCCGAACGCTGGATGCTTGCATTAGACGCCTTAATGAGTGCATGCACGTACTCCATACCGTATTTTCGTATAGGGTCGGGGGGGGGGGGGGGGGGGGAGGAAGGGGCGGCAATTCCCAACATATCCAAATTTGTCTCTCCAGTTTGTTCATCTCCACCGGTGCACCTGTTGGACGAGACCTGATCTTCAAGTGGCCAGACAGTGTTTTCGTTCCGATTGACAGCACTTCAGTTGCACGTGCTCGAGTAGCCCTGGCACCCGCGTGACTGTGGTGTCATCCCAGAATTGATCCCTTCGTCGTCATCCCTTTTCTATCAGATCAATGTCAGATGCTGCTGTCGGCTCCATCGAACTTTGTCCGACAAGGCTGGGTGCATAGGCGTCAAACCAGAAGTGTGTTAGGGGAGGGGAGGGGGAGGGGCGGAGAGCACTGCCCTTCCCGGCAAACTTTTGTGAAAGTTTGACATCAACTCGATTGCTGATGCATGAGAAGATGTGACTTGAAAATGGGGTTCACTGCTACCACTTCTTCTGACGTTTGCGCGCCCCTGTGGTGTATGTTGACAGACGAACCCAGCATGCATACACCAGCCGCACGGACAGATGCGTGCCGGCAACGCCCAAGGCACGGAGTCGAGTTGCGCTGCGTCACACAGCATTGGTTTGAAAACAAGAAAGGGAGAGACCCGTCGTGGCACATACTGATTGTGCGAGTGAAATAAACGAATTTAACTCCCGTAGTTCGAGGGTAGACCTCCTTGCACATATCCGTTTGAAATGAAGAAGGTGAGCTGTTTAAGAACTAATTACGTCATTAGTCTTGCGGACTGGTTTGGAAACGCCGAACATAGCTTGGCATAAGAAACATAATTTGAGTGCGTGCTTAGTCAGAGTTCACAATTTAAGCGATTTGATACTGAGGAAGATTGCTGATTTTACGAAAAGCCGTAATGTAACGATGTTATGTGCAATGAATGCCCAAATTAATTTTCATCACCATGCACGGCACCGGAAGTGCGCCTGGGTTGTCGTAAGTACACAGTGAGCGAAAGACTTACGCAAATTTTCCAAAAGATAAAAGGACCAACATGATATATGATATGTTGTTTCATGCAAAATTCATTTTGCGGGAAATGCGCTTGTGATGGTGGTAAACAAAGGGTATCATGGAAAAATTCCTTAAGAATTTACATTTGATGTGGAACATGTAGGTCAAGAAGGAAGGATTTGAGGAAGTTATATTTACCGCTCGAATTGAAAACGTCGAGCATAGTCATGCACAAGTACAATTCAAGTCGTGCATGAGAGAAGTCATCATGTCTTCAACAATTTTCTCAAAACATCCCCTTGTCTTTAACCATATTTCCGCACGTCCAATTTTTCTTGAAATCCATGCGGCGGTCGGATGTAAACCCCTGGTGTCCATGATTGTATTGAACCGATTTTGCCAGACTGGGTTTTGAACGAAAACGACTGTTCTAAACAAAGCGTTTTAGCTTGACGAAAATTTCGAAAAACGTTTGTGACGCGCTCAGGGTGACATGAAGTGAAACCTTTCGTAGTTGTCTGATAGGAACTTTCAGATTTCCCGGAACCTTTCGTGTTTGTTCTTGTACGTATCCATTTTGATCCCAGAGATATATGCCAGCTGTTCCGAATCGATGGCGATAGCAAGATATTGCAAATTGGTGTAAATTCAAGGGAGTAGTTTCGCAATATTAGTGGGATGGGGAGGAGAGGAATATGCCAACATCAGGTTTTTCCCTGGATTTTGCTCACTTTCTTCTCAAAGTTGGATGGGGGGGGGGGGGGGTGCGGGGCTGAAGCCCAAGTTTAGGTGAATTTTGGGGAGAGGAAGAGGCAAGTTTCCAACTGAGTAGCAAACTGCACCCCTGGTGTAAATATAACACCTAACATTCATCAGAGCGTCACAATGCGAGAGCTGATATTTATCTTGCTATCCCGCGCTGTGTTGCCTACGCCCGCCTGCGACGAAACCCCCAATCAGTCGCAAAGGTAGGCTATACCAAGCTGGTGCAGGACGGGAAAAACGCATAGCTGGTGGTGGTAATGTGCGTACGATCAAGCCGACTCCTACTCGTGACCATATTTATTTAGCCGGCACCACCCCTGTGATTGATCTCGCTACACCTGTGACCTTTGATCTGTGCTGGAGTGTCGTTGTTACTAATAAACAAAAGGTTCAAGCCTTCTAAGAAAAAGTCTGGGCTGTTGTCCTCCCCTTCGGTGAGATGCTTTCCTGGATCCGCCTCTTAAACCTTGATCTGCCCTTGCGATAGTTGTGCGTTTAGCATATAACGCTTGACTGACAGCAGAGTATCAGCTATCACATAAGTAAACCTGCATTGATTGCGGTACTGAAGCCTGCGTCGATTTGCCAGGGCATGACCTTCGTTACATAACCCATGGTCCAGCCTGTAGTGGGTACGGCTAATGTTTGTTTTTTTATTACGTATGAGATCTTGTTTGGAAGATCGGTTTCCTTAGAAGGAATAAGTGTATGCTAGCGCATGCCTCTGGAAATACAGAGGCCTGTCGTGGCATGCCACCCACAAAGCGCGCCTTGGTCTGCCTTAAGAAATGTGTCCCCCCCCCCCCCCTCCCACTCTCCGGATAAAATATGGTTTAAGGTCTGTGATGAAGGTGTGTTTCTTCCCAATCGGAAAATCCGTTGATGACGTCACAAGACGTCATCAGCTGACCCGGCTTGCCGCAGATTTCCCCACTTGAGGGGGTTGTTTTGCCAAGGCTTAGCTGAATTTCCGAACCGATGCCTTGCTGGTGTAATAGCGACACCGCGTGATGATTTTGCGTCAGGTGTGACTTGTGACCGAGCTCGGCGCGTGGTACTGGGAAGGCTGGGCGCTATCGTAACGAGGTCACTGCCAGCCACGTCGATGACTGGTGCCAGCTGTGACAATGCGGTGGTCATTTTTAATGCGATGCCATGTTTTTAGTAAGTGGGATTGCTTGTGACGCCCAGGTAGTGAGCCCTGTGATGGCCACAAGTGTGTCCGTGGTCATCGCGCCGGTCAAGCTGGTACCGCGGCGCGGCTGCCGGGAACGTTCAGGGGACACGTGTGACAACCGGAACAGTCACGTGCAGAGAAAAAGTGTGCAGCATGCTGTTCTTTCGTGAGCAGCTGGCGTTACCGCTACACCACCTGGCTTACCCGCATTCCCCACCCATAAGCGCACGAGCTCGCAGACGGAGCTGAGCCCAGCGGGCGGTGCTCACGTCCCTCTTCCGCCTGACGTCAGTCGGCCATGACCAGCGGCTGTTGCATCACCCGGTGACCCGGCGTGGCAGGCGGCGCCTTTGGCCGCGCCCGCGCGCGAGGTAGCAGTCGCTCAGTCGGCGCTGGTGAGGTCGGAGGGTCAGTCGACACTGCGAGCGAGTCTGTGACGGCGGCGTCCGAAGGCGGGTCTGGCTCGATGGTGCTGCGTCCTGCGATGGCGGCCGGCCCCGGGCGGTCGGCGCGGCCTGGGCCCAGGTCACGCGCTGATGGGTCACTCTCGGCGATGGTGGAGGCGGCCGGGCATCTCTGGCTCGAGGTGAGGAGCCCAGCTGGAGCGCGCTGCTGCCCCGCTCGGCCTCCTGTCAGCTGATTGACATGTATGCCAGTTTGTCCAACGCACAGGGTTTCTAGATTAGGGTTTCAAGAATGTCTGATGTTTTGTTGAAGCTTTCTTTGTGAATATCTTCCATGTGAATAACAGCGAGTCTTCCGTCCAGTTTCCCCGTCCCCGTCCTCTACCATATGCTCGACAATGAAATTATAAAGGTGAAATTCTTAAGGGGAATGCCCCACATTTGAAGATATTGAGGCATCAGATGTGATGAAATAGGCTCCTTTATGACTGTCGGTATACTTTAAAGTGGAAATGAATGCTCCAGACAACACAGCTTCTCTGTTTAGTAAACATGCTCCTCAATACGTCATTGTTTGGTTACGTCATCGTACCTAGCAAAACATTGCTGAGAGCCAATTTATGCCTGCTGTATCTGGCAGTCGTGCCTACGAACGTCAGATATAAACGAATCAACAATTGTATTTGTTTGGCCTTGATCTGCGCATGGTTCATGGAATGGCAGGATCTGAATGGCATTATTATGACGTCATGGGTGCTTACGTGACCTGGGAATAGTTTTCTCGAAATAGTTTGCACATTTTCGCGGGCGTGTAGCTCAGAGGCTGTGGGGGTTTAAGCCTCAAGAAGGGCAGGGCTGTCAACTGCACCGAATGATCATCAAGGTGGATATTTTAGTTCATAACCCCTTTCAAATGTGGAACACTCCCTGCAAAGTGCACGTGATTCTACTGAGATTCTCGCCTTTTACCATCGGTTACACACAAAGTGTCACACCGGTCATTCAAGGTAATACGGAGACCTCAGAGCGAAGAACAGTAGCAGGGGTAGGTTTGAACTGACCGGAGCTCTCCAACGGAGATGCGGGAAGCAGGTTTTGACGTGACTGATGGGATTGTGCGTAGCAATTACAAACGGCCTCAGTTGATCTGACCTGACACGACCACTGTAAGAGGCAATCGGCAGCTTCAACGATGTGGCGCACATCTTATGGAATTCGTGACTTACTGAAAATGGGGTTTACTGGCAAGCTGCTTTGTGTTTAATTCTTCCACTTTTTGGTGTTTTCACAAGTTGCGTTGCTTGCGCGGCATGTTTGATCGTTGCGAGACATCAGACCTGGCGGATCCTCCTCGGACTCTCGGAAAGTTATCTGCTGGCCAGCCCGGTTTGGCACAGCCTCGCCTTGTGTATTCGATTGTCTTGCGTGATGCCGATAGTTCAACCACTGTGCAATCAAATCGCTCTTTCGGCTTTATTTCATCAATCTGGGCATAAGCTATGTATTTACCTGATACATACATGTCGGTCGGTAGTCGGCCCACGTATGGGAACATTAAGCATGTGTTGTGTTAGTCAGCATCGTTGGTGAATGCGGTGCCCTCCGGGCCCAAATGCTGTAAATTTGGGTTCACGCGAGCCGCTTTGAGCGCTGGCTACTTACCCACTGTGCAGCCGCGCGCATCAAGCGTATTTGAACCGACCAATGTTCAGTCACTTGCCACTCCAGTTCGGGGTCAACGGTGAAAATACGCCCACGACGAATGCTCCAATCACAGCGAGGATCGCGTTCGATGCTAGCGTCCAGCGGCGCGCGCTGCGGTCCAGCGTCGCAGTAGGCCGGCGGGGGCACGGAGACCGGCGACCCGTCGGTGATTGGTGGGTGTGAGTCGCATCACTGCGGGTCAGAAGGCGCCTGTGACTTGGACCGCCACCATTGGACGGGTGCCGCGGCGCCAGCGCAAGACGTGTGGCCCTGCAGTGGTGCCACACCCGCGCGCAGCAAGCTGGGTCTGCCACCCTCCCGGGGAACAGCGCTCCAGCTGCGGCACGCTCTGCTGGAATCGCGAGCGGAGCATACAGCGCTGCGTTGGAGACGGACGCCGTGATTGGACATACGTTGAGACAGTGCCGTATCAAGTAAGACACTTGACGCAGGCATGTAGGAAGAAAGTCTCCCTCTAGGAATATTTAAAATCGTTTGGAAAGCTCTATCGATCTAAGGATCTCACTTATAGCTAAATTCAGGCGGGTCAGGTGGGAGAATTTATGACAAGGATGCGTGTGAGTCTGATCTAGGTCAACCTCGATGAGCCATGGAGGCTCTCTCTTTTCCAGATGTCTGTTTATATGAATTATACCGTTATGTCCATCATTTTGCTGTCAAGGTCTTGCGAGCTTTTCATCGGCGGGACGATGTCAAGATTTCATCACCCGTGTTTGCCAGAGCTGACTAACCGTCATGCAGTGGACGGGCGGAACGTTACATGACACGCTGCACCACCACCCACTATCTTGCCGCTTTTTCCATTTCACACATAGTCTCCCCCGGAAGTTTTTATCCGGGGTTTCGTTGCATCATGCCGGCGGCGCGACCACTTGAGTCACGGCGGAGGGCCTTGCTATTTTCTGCACCGCTTTCTCCGCGGCTTTCCCAGCGCCGGCTAGGTGGCGCTGCTGCGGCGGCCCGCATGGCTTCCGCGACTGGGCACGGCGTCGGCTACCCGCCGCGGACGAGTACCTCATCCGTTGACGCGTCGACCGGCGCGAGCGCTGATCGCTACCCGGACGATTGCAGGATGCAACGCGACTCTCAGTCACGTGTTTTACCGCCAGCGGCTAGGTTCGCACCGTTCGGGGGCGGACGTTGACTTGGCAGTAGTGTGAAGCGGTACAGGGGGTTGCGGATGAGGCGGCACCGACACTCGAGGCCGTGGCAAGGAGCCCTCCATCGCGGTGGTGTAATGCGTCACGCGCCTCTTGACATTGGTTGGCGTGACCCTTCCTAATCGGACGTCGAGCAGTGAGTGCAGGCTTCCCCGCTTGATTACGTATCGGCGCTCCTTCACTGACCGGGCGGGAGGGACGCGCCCCCAACGGCTCGAGCCTCGTGAAGAGGACTTCCTGACCCGGCTGCCGCTGTGTTCCTCTAATCCACGTACGGCCTCAGTCGCTGTGTCGCAGTGCGAGCCACGTGAGCGGACTTTCCGATCTCAGCTTCGACGGTTCCCTGTTGGAGGGGATCAGCACCCCGAGCGGAGTGGATCAGCGCCCCCTGGCGGAGTGGATCAGCACTGGTCTGGTCACGCCAGCTCGAACGGTCCCCTGGTGGAGGGGATCAGCACCCCGAGCGGAGTGGATCAGCGCCCCCTGGCGGAGTGGATCAGCGCTGGTCTGGTCACGCCAGCTCCGACACCAGCTAGCGGCGTTTTTTGCTTCGCACGAGTCAGCGGCTCAAGGAGGTGGCATTGGAGCTGGTTGGCGGCGAGCCGTATGAGTGGGAGTTATGCGCTAGATGAAAGGACGTATCAGTCCGTTTGGCGTCCTTTTGATGTTGCTTTGAAAGGGATGGTTGCCTGTCTGCGTGTTTTTAATGGGATAGCTATTAGCTGGAAAGTTTGGGGCGGTGTGCGGCAAGAAGAGTTGTCTGCGAACGTGACCCTGGCGACCCTGGTCACCCAGACGTTGGCTATAAATTACAAGGAGGGGCCCTCGTGATAGCCTTTGCACGCTATGTGCAAGAAAAGCGAAGTGGTTGTTAGCAAATGGTTCAAGGAAAATGTTACCATAGCTTTTAAGTCTGGTGAATTTGTTTGGCATACTGATGTAATTTTCCCAGTTTTCCTTAAAATACGGCATCCATCATTATCATTAATGTCACATACAGTCTGTCACAGACTTTTCACTCATGCAACGTACCTCGCCGTACGTTACAGACCTTGTAAAAACCTTCACTTATGACGTCCGCCGTAAGGTAATAACAGGCCAACAGACTGACGTTTTGATGTGTAAAGCTGCGTTTGCTGTCTGATCTTTTTCAAAGCTACATCATTTTGCAACGTCATCTTTCCAATAAAATTGTCCCATCTCGCTCTAGTGGCGCTTGGCGGGCTGTGGTCTATGGCATGCGTTTGGCACTGATGTCCCAGACCTGCTCTAAAAAAGTATTTGTCTTACATTGGGTGTCTCTTTTTCACCGAATGGTGAGAAGTTTGATAGAGGCAGATAGAGGTTGTTTGAGAGACCGCTCGTCGTCGTTGTGAATAACGTTAATGGGGCGGAGCCTACCTAAATTGTTTTGTGACTTTATTGGTTCTCGGAACAAACATTGTGGTAAAGAGCGGCTTTTGATCACAACGAATCCAGACAACTGAAGTAATAACTTTTGCCATTGGTCTTGGACGGCAACACTAAGAACGAAAGCACAAACGCAATGACAATGCCAACGATTCATTCTTGTCCCCTAAGGTTTCTGTTAGACATACCATTACCGCATTGTTTCAGCATGATCAGAAATTCCTGACAAATATGGCAATGTTTTGTAATCGAGATTTTCGTGTAAGCCTAGAGAATGATGGAATTATGCAATATCTTCGCTAGGCCCGATCACTTACCCTTATTGTCTGCGTGGCCGTGGTGTCATCTTATTGAACTTCGAATTTGCCGTTAGGCAACTTGGCTGTTCTCCCAGACAACTTGTTAAGGATGGGTGAGGTTGACGATATACTCTGTGTTGGCTCCATGGGCGGTCGATCCATGTGATGGATCCAGACGTGTGTACACATGTCATCAATGATGAGGCATCAGCTCACTTTGATCAGTGTTTTCGTATGAGGGCTGTTCTCACATACCCACGGAACTCGCATAACTCGCATGACTCACGCAGTTCACATCACTCACGTACTCGCCTCCCAGTCCTGTGCCCGTCGAGAGGTCCGAGTTTGTCAGCACTCCTGCTGGTTCACGGTAGATGTGGCGCCGTACGCATTGCGCAATGGCGTTTAATGACAACGTTCCAAGCTTTCAGGGTGGAGCTCATTATTCCCCGAGTCAAGAGCACAGTCATTTCAGGGCGTCTCAGTGAAAAAGAGTGCCCTCGTCACGCTGAGACACATTGGCGACTGATGCATCAGCCTAACGACAAGTGTCGTGTTTATTCCACTGCTCATTGCTAACAAAAATGT